AGAGAGAGAGAATGAGTACATGAGAGAGGACACTCGCAGAGTTATTTAAACAAAGCAGGTGAACATGAGTTTTGTAAACAAACCAAGCGTACATGTCTGGTTTGTGTACAAGTTACAGTGTGTACAAGTTGTCTCTATGTTGATACGATAGAATAAATAAAGAGGAACACTCCCATTCTCATGTAACACCATTTTTTTTTTAGAAGAAATGACACTCTGAGTGACGGCATACAAAAGGAATAATTTTCTACAGTTACACCCAGTAACACATTTTCTCTTATGTTGGACTAGAGAAGACGTTATTCTTGCCGTCACTTGTACAAGTTGTCTGGCTACCACATCTCGTATTTATGTTTATTTATTCTACTGTGGAGTATATTTACCATCTTTATATATTATGTATCCTGTTTATTATATAATTATGAAAAAATATCATACATGGATTAATGAAAATGTGTATATTAACGTACTATACGACATTTAATGAGAATATTATTATGAAAATGTGTATATTAACGTAATATACGACATATACGAATGATTATTATTATTATTATCATTACTAATATGGTGTCTCAAGACATAATACACACTTACTGATTTTAATATGTACCTGCACACCAGCACAGTGTGTAAGTTTATTTAGGTATGGGTATACATAAGTATAATTATCAGAGTATATATAAAATATGAAATAACTTTTAAAAAGACTTGAAATTTTTGGAGTTTCCAGACACAGTGGAGAACGTAGTGGTTACAGACCTCACAGAGAATGTAAGCAAACAGGGTGGGGCGCAGTGACCGTATTAGAAAGTCAGGTGGGGGGAACCGTATAGAGAGTTTAGGTCATAATTTGAAATGACCGTATTAGAGGAATGCCGTAAAGCAGGGCCCTACTGTATGTACGTATTATTATAATTTATATTATACGTATTTTGTGTATTATTATACAAATATTATACATATTATTGATATTATTATTATTATTATTATTATTATTTATAATAATACTCTTGTGTACCATTTGGAATTTTTATTCACACAAAAAATAGATTTACTGTTATGCAGACTACTGCATTATTGTAATAATTGTATAAATAATGTCAACCTATTCATGACTGCATATTTGGAATGGCCACTCAGACAGGTATTGTTTACTCATGAACATTGGCAAAAATCAAACATTTCTGCTAATTTGAGCTCAATTTCAAGGTACTTTTCATCATGAAATAATTCAAAATCATTTCTATTTCTGTAATACATCTTCCATTCTATCAAACGAGACCAAGAAAACAAGAATACAGCCATAAAAACCATACGAAAATATACCACTAAGGGGCTGTAAATGGCTGAGAAGTGAACTCTGTTATATATGGTCCAATTTCTTTCAATTTTTGTGTACGTTAAGAAGCATCTTTCCAACATACATTGCCCAAGTTTCAATAAGATTGTCCAACAAACAAAAGAGATCCAATTCCCTAGATCAAGAGCAAGAACCCCTCACCAGCGTAAAGGAACCTCCCTTGAGGCCCACTCACATCTGGAAATTTCGCTCGCATCTAGAAGCAAAAAATCAGTCGAGCAACTGCTTGTATATCTGGAAGAACTCTCACGTGGGTGCACTCATAAGTGGAGGTTACACTGTATAATATAGGAGGGGCCTTGGGATGTGATTAATGAACTGAGGAAATATTGTTTCAGTGCCAGGAATGTCTACATTGCTTATTATGGACTCTATTTTTAAATTGTCATTTTTTAATTTTGTGTGAAATTGGCCAATTTACCGAATGCTGATTACAGGTCCTCCATCACAAATCCGGCATCAATGGGACCTGTAGTGTGCCGGATTACTGAGTTTGCCGAATTACAGAGTGGTTAAGTTAGAATACACTTAATAAAATTAACCAACTTGACTTACACAGTTCATTGAACATTGGCAAAAATCGAACATTTCCGCTACTTTGAGCTCAATTTCAAGGTACTTTTCATCATGAAAGCAATAAAAATCATGTCTATTTCTGTAATATATTTTTCCATTATATCAAATGAGTCCAAAAAATGAGAATACAACCATAAAAACCATAGGAAAATATACTGCAAAGAGGCGGCTAATGGCTGAGAAGTGAACTCCCTTATTTATCGTCCGTCATTTTTATTTTTGTTGTACAGTGGAACCTCAAAAATCGAACTGCTCCCAACACAACCAGTTATGTAAGTGCTTTTATAAGTGTATTTTTGAGGGTCTGAAATGGACTAACCTAATTTACATTATTCCTCATGGGAATAAATTCATTCAGTAAAGGCACTGAAACAGCCTTCTGGACCAAAGAAATTTCGATATTTGAGGTTCCACTGTACGTTAAGAAGCATCTTTCCATCATACATTGCCCAAGTTTCAATGAGATAGCCCAACAAACAACCGAGAAAAAAAAAATATTTACCAAAAATCATATATGGCAAGTCCAAGCCAGGTACTGGAAATAAGTCACTTTGTCTGACTATTCTGGGCTATCCTAGGTCCTCTATACATACACTGCTATGTATGATAATCTATGTAAACTGTATTTGTGTATACCTGAATAAACTTATTTACGTCTAGTCTGTCAACTGAGTACAAGAAACCGCCCATTCACTTATTTCAACTACCCAATAAAGTGGTCAGAAATTGGCAATTTGGCTGATTTCACACAAATTTCAAAAGATGCCAATTTCAAAATAGGATCCAGAATAAACAATGTAGACATTCCTGGCACTAAAATAACATTTTCTATGTTCATTAGTCACGGCTACAGGCTCCTCTTATATTACTCTTGCTTACCATTTGGAATTTTTATTCACAAAAAAAAAAAAAAGATTTACTGTTATGCAGACTACTGCATTATTGTAATAATTTTATAAATAATGTCAATCCATTCTTGACTCCGTACTGGAATTTAGACTGACAGGCGCACACGTATTGGACGATGACGTCATTTCTTTACTCTTGAGCTTTGCTAAAGAATAGAACATTTCCGCTACTGTGAGCGCAATTTCAAGGTACTTTTTGTCATGAAAGCAATCAAAATCGTATCTATTTCTGTAATATATCTTTCATTCTATCAAGTGAGACTGAAAAAATGAAAATATAACCATAATAACTGTACAAAAATATACCGCTAAGCGGCCGCTAATGGCTGAGAAGTGAACTCCACTATTTATGGTCTGATTTCTTTCATTTTTGGTGTACGTGAAGAAGTATCTTTCCATCATACATTGCCCAAGTTTGAATAAGATAATCCAACAAACAACTGAGAAAATAATAATAATAATAATAATAATAATAATAATAATATCTTTATTTACTACACGTACATGTACAAGGTATACAGGCCTAGCTGACATCAGTGACATACTACTGTATAGAAAGGCACTTGTTATGCTGAGTATTTCAAGAAAATTAGGTCAGTGTCCCAGGATAACACCCACACTAGTCGACTAACACCCAGGTACCCATTTACTGATGGGTGAACATAGACAACAGGTGTAAAGAAACACGCTTAATGTTTCTACCCTGGCTGGGAATCGAATATTTACCAAGAATCATATATGGCTAATCCAAACCAGGTACTAAAAATAAGCCACGTTGACTTTTTTGGGGTTATCCTAGGTTCTCTACACATATGCTGCTATGTGTGATAATTTTTAGAGAGAAAATAACTTTTTTGTTTCATGTTTATGGTGGAGTACGAGTGTATATCATAGTTAGCCCTGTGCTATACTCCGTTTTCTCTAATATAAGCCCCAAAGACAAGGGTAGGAAAATGGTATTTGTTTACCATATCCTCTTCATAACTCTGTCGAACTGCTCGGTGTTATGCCAAATAATATTCATTCTGGAGTATTTAACATGTTTTATGTTATTTATATTGTTTCTTATGTCATATTAGATCAATTGTGATAGGCAAATAAGCTGTAGTGTTGATATTAGCGTAATAATAAAGCGTATTCTCCTGCTTCATGAGACTGAGCTCATGGCATCCGACAGTGGCTTCAAAGCCACCTTATCTTTAATGGATAATGTACTGTGTCGGTGCTTTACATAATGAGAAGCATTTCTTTTATTCATTGGAACCATGGCTAGGGCTAAAAGTAAGCAGGTTAAAACAATAAATGGAGAAAAAGAAATTGGAATGACTTATGCAGCAAGTAGCACCACCAAACAGTACCAGCAGGTTGGTGTGGCGACCCTGGAAATTTGAAATTATGCTAGCCAAAATTAGTGCCGAATAACTGAAGGAACCGAATAACTTATTGCTGGATTTGTAATGGCAGACCTGTACTTTATTGGGTGGTTGAATGGTTGGTTTCTTGAGCTCAGTCAGTAGACTGTAAGGCATACAAGTGAAATAGCTAATAATTTGGCCGACTGGAACTGAGGAATTGGCATAATATAGGACTCAATGGGCAAAATTGCCAGTGTGTAATTGTGCTGAGACTGCTAACTTTATACCAGTGTAATTCCATGAGATTTTCATCAAATTTCATACTTTTGGAGTCATTACTTTTGGTAAAAGATTCTGTACTATTTCATAAGGAAAAAAATAATTTTTTGGTGTTGGAAAATTTTGGGACATTGACAACAAGTTTCAGATGATGAGTCTGGGTCCCTGAAAGGTTTAAAATCTGTGAAGGGTTCTGTATTTTATCAGAGTTTTTCAAGTTGTATATGAATATTTCACTTGCTTCGTTTTGGAAAATAATTTGGCCCAAAATGTGAGTTTCAAAATCAGTCCTTTGATGTGGCACTTAATTCCACTTTGCTTAGGTACTTAGTATCATGCTTTAATGGCATTATTAATTACTATATCAAAGCTTTCATGACAGAGCTCAAGTAGAGTTGATTGCTTCACTAATTAAATGTATGTTTGCATAATCAGAATACAGCATCTGCTTCTTATGAATTAAATTTAATGTGGACTTTCTTTACTGTTCTTGGTACTTATGCTTCATACATATTTCAGGATGAAAATGAGCTTTCTGTAGAAGAGCTGAGAAAAAAATATGCAGAATTAGCTGCTAATTCTGAGCCAATGGAAGAAGAATCTGAAGATGGTGGTAGTGATGATGGTGATGATGATGAGGTTGATGTCAATGAGGATGATGATGATGAGATGGAAGTTGAAGAACTAGAAGGGAAACCAGAATCAGAGAAGGAAGATGAATGCAGTGATGAAGAAATGCAGAGCGATGAGGAGGAAGTCGAGGAGGAAGAGGAGGAGGAGGAACATAGTCTAGGCTTGGAAACTCTCATGAAAGAAAATCTAGAAAAAGATTCCAAGGTTGCCAGTGAAAAGGCAGACAAGGAACTTGAAGATGCTTCAGCTGTAGCAGAAGCTCTACAACCTAAGGGATTCACATTATCATCAACTTCAGTGACCACACCCATTCCCAGCTTGCTGAAGCATACGTTGCGAGAGTACCAGCATGTAGGCTTGGACTGGCTCACCACCATGTTTGAAAAGAAGTTAAACGGTATTTTATCTAAAGTATATTTTTCGTAGTTTTGTCAGTTAACTTTGGAATAAAATTATTTAAAGCAGTTTTGTGTTAGATGGGTTTATGTTGATATTTTGTTATTCCTGTTTTCATAGGTATTCTTGCTGATGAGATGGGCTTGGGTAAGACTATTCAGACAATATCACTTCTAGCACACCTTGCATGCGAAAAAAGCAATTGGGGACCGCACCTTATTGTGGTGCCTACTTCTGTCATGCTCAACTGGGAGATGGAATTCAAGAAGTGGTGCCCAGCCTTCAAGATACTAACATATTATGGTACACAGAAAGAAAGAAAGATGAAAAGGCAAGGTGGGATATATTGCTATCTTATTTTAATTAAAGTAGCAGCATTTTTTTGTTCAATAGTTTGTTATGCAGATCTTCCTTGTGGTGTAAATACACCCTATTTTTTTTTACCTATAATATGTTTTCCACTTTTTCTCTAATTCTCTCTATTTTTCCCTGCCCCTTTTGCTTCTCTCTTTTTTTTTTTAACCCTCTCATTATATGTCGTCCTCTCCTGTCACCTTTCTTCCTTCTCTGTTTTTCTCCCCTCTTTTCTGTTTTTACTCTGCTCTTTCCCTCCCTTTCATTATTACTCTTTAACTCTTCTTTTTACCACTTCCTCATTACTTCTTTTCCTTTATTGACAGACCTCCTTATCTCTGTCCCTCCTCCTCCTCTTTTCCTTCCTTTAGCCCTTAAGGAGCATTGGTACTAGTACAGGTCCACCATCACAAATCCAGCATCATTGGGACCTGTAGTGTGCCAGATTACTGAGTTTGCCAGATTACAGAGTGGTTTGGTTAGAATACACTTAACCCTTAAACTGTCCAAACGTAGATCTACATTTGCTTGCATTGTGCACCAAACTTAGGTCTACATTTTTTTACATGCTTTCTTATGGAGAAAATCAAGGTCGGAGCGCTATGCACACAAACATAGATATACGTTTGGACAGTTTAAGGGTTAATAAAGTTAACCAACTTTACTTACACAAGAAAGTTCATTGAACATTGGCAAAAATTTAATATTTCCTTTACTTTGAGCTCAATTTCAAGGTACTTTTTGTCGTGAAAGCAATCAAAATCGTATCTATTTCTGCAATATATCTTCCATTCTATCTAATGAGACCAAAAAAACGAGAATACAACCATGAAACCTATATGAAAATATACCACTAAGAGGCAGCTAATAGCTGAGAAGTGAACGCCGTTATTTATTGTCCGATTTTTTTCATTTTTGGTGTAGGTTAAGCATCTTTCCATCATACATTACTCCAGCTTCAATAAGATAAGCCAACAAACAAACGAGAAAAAAATATTTACCAAAAATTATATACGCCTACCATCCAACTTACAACCTGGTCGACATACATCCACTCGACTTACGACCGTGCATCTGGCAGCTGGGCTGGGCTGGCATGATGCATACCCCTGTACAGTATTTGGCCATACTCGCAGCGGCAATGCGCCATGCAGGCAGCATCAGTTTGAGTAACCCTGCCCTATCAGCAGCACCATACTGTATTAACTGTACTTACTGGACAGTACATTTCACCATGGCCCCTAAGAGGAAGTCTGAATCTTGCACTGGAGACTGTTGCACATAAACCTGTCTGTATCTTTCTGCCTGTATATCTGTCTGCATCTGTGCCTGTCTGTATCTATCTGTATCTGTCTGTCTCTATCTGTTTATCTGTTTTTATGTCTTCCTGTGTGTGTGTCTATCTTTCAGTCTACCTGTGTGTCTGTCTTTCTGTCTACCTGTGTGTCTGTCTTTCTGTCTGCTTGTGTGTGTGTCTCAGAGCCGCTCATGAACCAACAGGTATTACACATGAAGCAGAGTCGTCACATCTTCAATATGACGCTAATATCAGCTCTACGGCTTATTTATCTATCACAATTCATCTAATATGACATAAACAACATAAATAACATAACCTGATATACACTCTAGAATGAATAAAATATGAACTTAACTACTTTAAACTCCACATCTTGCACCTGTGCTGGTGTGCAGGTACACATTAAAATCATTAAGAGTGTGTAATTGGTCTTGAAGATGCCATATTAATAATGATAATAATAATACAATAATAATCACTCTGAGGCGCATTAAATGTGTATAAAACGTCAATACAGTGGTCCCTCGTTTATCGTAGTTAATCCGTTCCTGGAGTTGCTACTATTATCGAAATCTACGATTTTCAAATCAATTATCCCCATAAGAAATAATGCAAATACAATTAATCCGTTCCTGACACCCAGAAGTATTAAAACAAAAAAATTTTTTGCATGAAATATAGATGTAGTACATAAACAATACAATGGGAAATGATGAATGAAACATTAACAGCATAACACTTACCTTTATTGGAGATTCTTCTTAGTGTATGGGAGACTGGAGGAGGAGAGTGAGTGGATTGTTTATAGTTTGGAAGGGGAATCCCCTTCCATCAACACCTCAGGTACCATTTGCTTTTCTGGGGTTGCTTCTCTTCTCTGTTTCTTAATGCCACTAGGACCACCTTGAGAGTCACTGGAGTCCTGTCTCACAAAATAACTGTGGAGAGAGCTCTGTTTCTGGCATCTCTTTAACACTTCCCTAAAATGGCCCAAGACTTTATCACTGTACATGTTGCCAATATGGCTTGCAACAGCCTTGTCAGGGTGATGTTTCTCCATAAATCTTTCCATCTTACCCCACATAGCAAAAATCTCTTTAATTTCTGAAGAAGGCACCTTCTTCCATCTCTCTTCCTCCTCCTCTGCAGCAAGATTCTGAGCTGCGATGTGTTGTTGTTCAGGTTACAGTCCTTCAGCCTCTTATGTACTCCTTGAATTCATGCACATATTTTTCAGCCGCTTTGTGGTCCGAACTGGCAGCCTCACCATGCCTTACCACACTGTGTATGCCACTACGGTTCTTAAATCTCTCAAACCAACCTTTGCTGGCCTTCCTTAAATTCACAAATATCAGTACTCGTTGCAGGCAATTTCTTTACCAGATCGTTGTGCAACTACCTAACCTTTTCACAAATAATCGAAGTCATAAGAGTATCTCCTGCTAATTGTTTCTCGTTTATCCACACCAATAATAACTTCTCAACATCTTCGAGTACTGGTGATCTCATTTTTGTCAGCATATTTACCCCCTTTGCAACAACAGCATCCTTGATTTCCTCTTTCTTGGCCACGATGGAACATATGGTTGTGTATGGTTTCTTATACATCCTGGCCAGTTCGGCCGCACTCATGCCACTTTCATATTGTTCAATGATGTTTTTCTTAAATTCGATTGTATTTCTCACTTTCTTTACCACAGGCTTGGCACTAGGAGCTTTCTTTGGAGCCATGGTAGCTTATTTAGTACAGTGGACCCCCGCATAGCGACCTTAATCCGTGCAAGAGGGCTGGCTGTTATGCGAAATGTTCGCTATGTGAATGAATTTTCCCCATAAGAAATAATGGAAATCAAATTAATCCGTGCAAGACACCCAAAAGTTTGAAAAAAAAATTTTTACCACATGAAATATACATTTTCCTACACACAAAGAGAAGGATACATGCACAATAGTAGAGTAGTACATGCACAATATATATTGTGCATGTACTACTCTACTAAATGAAGAATAAATGACACTTACCTTTATTGAAGATGCAGCAATGACTGATGAGACACTGTGTCCTGGGAGTGCCTTTTCCTCCTGAGTACTGTAGGTCCTGTTTGGTATTTTCTTCCAGAACAGGCCTTATCACACTGTGTATGTCACTACGATTCTTAAATCTCTCAAACCAACCTTTGGTGGCTCTAAATTCACCAATATGAGCACTAGTTCCAGGCATTTTCCCTGTTCACCTGGGTGTTAGTCGACTGGTGTGGGTTGCATCCTGGGAGACAAGATTAAGGACCCCAATGGAAATAAGTTAGACAGTCTTCGATGACACTGACTTTTTTGGGCTATCCTGGGTGGCAAATCCTCTGGGGTTAATTGTTTCTTGGTATTCTCAATAAGCCACACCAACAACGGTGGCTACAGCAGCAGCAGCAGCAGCTGACGATGTTACAGCAGCAGCAGACGATGCTACAGCAGCAGCAGCAGCAGACGATGCTACAGCAGCAACAGACGATGCTACAGCAGCAGCAGACGATGTTTACAGCAGCAGCAGACGATGCTACAGCAGCAGCAGCAGCTGACGGTGGTACAGCAGCAACAGACGATGCTACAGCAGCAACAGACGATGCTACAGCAGCAGCAGACGATGCTACAGCAGCAGCAGATGATGCTACAGCAGCAGCAGACGGTACTACAGCAGCAGGAGCAGCTGACGGTGGTACAGCAGCAGCAGCTGACAGTGCAGCAGCAGCTGACGGTGATACAGCAGCAGCAGCAGCTGTACCACCAATAGTAGCGATGGTTGATTGGGGTTTATTATACAACCTGGCCAGCTCGGAGAAAACGCACTCCACTTTCATACTTATCAATGATCTTTTTCTTCATCTCCATAGTAATTCTCTCACCCTTATTGCTGTAGGGTTGGCACTAGAAGCTTTCTTGGGGCCCATGGTCACTTATTTTCCAGAAAAAAATCACCAAA